ATATATATATATATTATACATATGTCTTTATGTATGGCGCTACTCTGTCTGCTCAGAAATTGCACTACAACTATCACTAATGCTACCGGTACTAATTAGGTTGCCGCGCTCATCTTCATAGTTGTCTATTGCATCGCGTGCTGCTGATCTATTTGCGATCGGCAATCGGCAACTGAGCCTCCCTGCACGGCAAGCCAACTCCTTGTTGCGCTGCCTGGGGTCACCAAAAGATGAGCCGCGGCACTGGGCTTTGTATGTAACGGGGTAGCGAGCAGGTACCAGGAATGCCGCAATGAAATGAAGTTCTGAAGCCAAAAAGGAAGCTGCCCCCCGGCGTCGTCGACTCTGACTACCCAGCATCTCCCGAAACCTAAATGTCTCAACTTGTCATGCACTCTTCTCCCTCTTCAGCACATTGATTACCCAGGGGTTGAAGTCTGAACTTAGGCATAAAGCTGGATTTAAAAGGCTATTCTACATTCTACATGGGGTAATTGTGCCATGCTGATGCCCAGATGCTCCAACTCTGCTTTCTCGCGACCTGACCACTTCCATTATCGATTGGCTTTCGGGTTTAGGGCCTGAAGACATCCACAGGACCCACCGCAAGCAGCATACGGGAATGTCTTTCCAATCAAGCGCGCTTCCAAGAAGGTAAATCCGCAATACGGCAGGCTCTGAGGCTGCAAGGCAGCTTGGGCCTTCGACAGAAACTCGCTGGAACTCCATCTCCAGGTTTTTCTTCAAAGCCTGCTACTGCCGCTGTCACTAATCACAGCTACAGGATTTAGGGCCATTTAGGGCTGACAGGCGTACATCCTGGCTTCCCCAACTTTACCGAGCCGTTATCTGCACTCACATATATCACTGACGAGCCCTCACGCAGATTTCCTGCGTTCGCCGCCTGCCTGAGAAACACAAAGCGGCCTCGTAGTCCTTCGACTTCTCCTCGTAGCGCAGCTTCAAAGTCTTCAACACTTCCTGAGTAGAGAAAGACATCTACAACACCAGTTACGCTGGTATGCTTACTACAGGTCGCTGTAGGCACACAGTCCGAAAGTGCATATCTGCAACACGCAAGCCCTCGTGTCTCATGCAGCAGGCACTGCAGAACTGCCGCTGGAATCTTCGGACAAGCAAAAAAGCATATTTACATGCTCAGGCTGCCCCTCGCGGCTGCATTCGCGCAGAAGGGCTCAACACGAAAATCGTCCAGACTGGCTGGTCGTCCGCTGGGTCCTTGGGACCTCTGCAGCCTAACTCCGGGAAGAAGATGTGCGAGGTGCGAGCAGCCGAGAAATGAGGCCAGCTTTCCATAAACCAGCGGTCGGCCAGGATCACGCCGTGGCGCATGTCAGTAACCTCCTGCCGGGCGCAAACAGACAGCAAGAAGGGTTCAGAGAACAGGAAGACTGCCACAAGGCCCCCAAAGAAGTCTGCAAGAGCCGCATGCAGACCTGTCGTGATTTCACTCCTCCACATGGATGCGGACGACGCTTAGGCTTAAGCCCTTTTGCCTCCAAACTTGCTGCAGGATCGAGGCCGCCAGATCTCCAATTCAATGAGGATCACATCTTTCCCAACTGGAGCAAGGGACCTCCGATTTGCAGATTCCGTGTCAACAAAGGGGCCAAAACATGCTCGTGCTGTTGTAGCAGTAGCATCTGAATCCCTTGACAGGACCGACAAAGGGGATGATCCTGAAGAACACATGTCGCCTCTACTCCGCATGTTCAATGTTGTCGGCCTCTCTTACGCAAAGAAACTATGCGATGCAACAAGTCTTTCGTTCCATGTTCCAGACTAACCACTACCACTGCCATTGTCATTGCCACTGGCAACGACGCCACCACCACAAAAGACAAAATTGGACTGCAGTGATCAATGCCGAGTAACTCAGACTTTCAGACATGCACCATTGACCTTGTCGTCAGGAACTTGTCGCAGCACGCTCGGCTCCTGCGCAGCTGCGAGTGCTGTCTTCAGAGTTGTCAGGGTTGTCGGAACTTGCTCCATGGAAGCAGGCTACATTCTCCAAGAGAACCCAAAGCATCAGTACCAAGATGATTAAAGGCGATTTATATCAAGACCGAGTTGCATTACAACTCTCCATGCTGTGATGCACAAGCGACAAAAAGCCCCTTCAACCCCAAAAGCGACATCAAAGGATTGCAGGATTGCGGCTAACAAACAGCCCCCCACGCCTCCGCGCCCCGCCAGCACGGCGGCAACTCCATAGGCCCAGCTCGCCGCCGACTGCGTCAGGGTCTCCTCTGGCGATTCGGTTTTGGAGGATGTGAAAGGCTTAGGGTCTCAGTGGGTCTTAGGCTTTGGCTTTTGGGCTGAGGTTGTTGGTTGCGAGCTTTTTTCACCCACAGGTTTATGGTTGCGAAACCCCAAGGCTTGCGGGTTTAGGTTTTGTCTCTCAGGGTGATACCATGTGTTGCTATTACGAGTATGCTCAGTATAGTCTTACCAAATCCTTCCGAATGCCGACGCATGACCACAAGGGAGAAGGCGACAACCTTGGGTACGCACCCTTCTCAGATTTCACGCCTCGGAACCAAAATCATAAAGCAGGGGAGGTGTACCTGCTAAAGGCAGCTGGCCCTAATACTCTTGCCGCTTCTGCTTCTACTGAGATTCTACTGATCAGGCCGACTTCGTTGAGCTTGTATCAAAAATTATCACTCACCTCCACTGTTTACAGACAGCGACATTACGTAACAAGAGTAGTAATAGCAACAGTAATACTAGTAATAATAACGAAACATCTTGAAACTACCTAAATAGCACTCTTCATCTCTTTGTTCACTGGTCGGTCCTTCTGTTGAGGTGCGAGTGGTATGTCAAACTTCAGCCTTGAAGCCCCTCACTGCGACGACCCCTACTTACTTCCCCAGAAACAAAAGATTAAGCTTTCAGATGAAGGTTTAGGGTTTAGGGCTTATAGGGTCTACTTAGCTCTATGAACCCAAAACGCTTGAAGGTTGGATATTGGAGAACCAATGTAGGCCTAACTTCAGGATTTGGGAGTCAGGTTTGGGACACTCGAAACACACCCAGGAGACCCACCAATGTACCCGGCCTAAGGCCCCAAAGCAAAAAAGGGAAGGCGTTTATAAGCACTTCGATCTATCTACATACCTGCCTACCTTTCTATCTAGCGATCTATATACATGTACGTCTAGTTAATCTGGTTCATATCTGTAGCTGTAGGGTTCCAGTGTAGGGTTCCAGGAGCCCAGAAGAAGTTTACCTGTCGCGTATCCGCGCCAAAACTTCTGGGATTCTATAGGTTTTATAGCACACCAAAACCCCAAGCCCCCTAAACCTAAACCCGAAACCCTAAACCCCAAGCCCTAAGCCTTTTTGCAACTGGCCTGCAACGACTGGTTTCAAGCATCCCGAAGCCCTAAACCCCTCCTGACCCTACCTTAAACTACCAAAACCTACCTTTTTGTAGGGTCCCTATAAATTCTATATTAGGGTCTATAATAAGGTACTACATAGGAAAGCCCCCCAAAACTGCAAGCCTGGTTAAAGCGGCGCATGCTGCGGGAGGTCGCCCACCAGTCGGCCCCTTCCGGTGTGAAGAAGCTCAGGAGCCTCCACGGCTCGGCCAATCAAAGCTTAGGGCTTTTGTTGCCTCCCACCCAGCTAAGACAAGCTTGGGGTTTAGGGTTTAGTTCGGATTTCAAGTTTGAAGGGGTTTAGGATTGAGTTTCGGCACTCACACTTGGACAATCCAGGGGTCGTATGTGGTCTTAGTTCAGGGCTTATTCGGGTTTAGGGTTTCGTTGAGGGTTAAGGTGTAGGCTTGGGGCTTCTTTCCTACCCGCTTCGCTGACGAGGTCGTGCGGTTAGGGGCTTAGGGTTTAGGGTCTAGTTTCGTGTTTACTTTTAAGGTCTTTTTTGCCTCCCGCCTTACCTTACAGTCTTGGGGTCGACAGTTAAAGGATAGTTAAAGGTTTTGGAGCGTAGGAGTTTAGGATTGTGGAAGGATAGGTACTGTCTTGAAACTACGGGAAGCTTGATTCTCAACAAAGGCCCGTAACCCATATTCTACTTAAAACTTTGTTGTGTTAGCTCCCCTGGTTAAGAAAGCGAGCGCAGCACCGAATGAATTTCGTAAGGATGCCGAGCAGAAGCAGTGCTAGCACTATCCAGATAAATCGGGGCACCAAGCACAAGACCCCGGGTGTGTCTGCGGGTTCCCGGTACGTCTGTCCCTTGTCTCAGGGGCTTTTGGTGAATTCAACTGAGGCTTCTGAACTCAGGGGCTCATGCATTCCGAGACATAGTCACTAGACGGTCGTGCTTAGAAAGCTTCAGGTCAAGGTTGAAGATCTTGAATCCTTGTTCAAGATTGCGCTGGGCATGAAAGCCTCTTGCCAGAGACAGGCCCGGTGTTTGACTACTGCACTGGTTCTGCCATCAAGCACTACACGGTCGAACTCAAGTAACTGCTCCTGGTCGCAGTCGCAACTGCTGAGGATTCAATTACACTTGTGCGTCAGTGGGTGCGGTCTTCGCTGTGGGGCGTGGATGCAACTTTTTATACGGGTCGTTGAAGCTTCTCGGGTTCTGCTGCAGATTTTTCCAACCCTCTCCGACGCCCGCACTCGGCAGGTCAGGGCACTAGCGAAAATGCAGATAAAGACTTGAATTAAGGCGTTTGCACGCATCGAGAGGGCTGGAGAGCTTCGATGCATGGGCAGACGGTCTTCCAAGTCGTGTGAGCGGTCGTGAGGAAACGCGCTGGCTGCTGTGGTCGACGACGGAACTTGTGCGCTGGATTTTGGACGTCTTGATTGTAGTTGTAGTTTACCCAGTTCCGCACAAATGGTAGTGGCTGCTCAGCCACCATAATGCAGTCGAAATCGATGACTCTGCATGTTTCGGTTTGGGCGCTTCTGAAGACAGTACCCCAGGGCGCCATCGCAATCGCAATCTTGCTGATTGCTTCCGGGACACTCGGCGACGCTCCCAAAGCCTTGCGAGGGTCAGGCAGCGAATAAATGTGGAACCTTTGGTTTTGGGCAGATGTCCTGCTGAGTAAGCCGGGTGAGCAACTCTAGATTACAAACAATGGCATGGCCTTCCTTGCGTACACATCACAAGCAAATTCCTGAGGGGACGGCGGAGTATGAATGGAAACTTGGCAAAGTCCGTGCCTGAGTCCATAAGCAGTGGTCAGAGCCCTCAAGCCCGGATTCTCGTCTCGCAGTGTCTACATCTCAACTTGCTGCGAGAGTTTGCGCCGTGCTGGCTCTGACTCTCACATCTACTAGCAACGAAGAGACCGCACAGCCGAATGCCCTGCCGCGTTGCGGTTAAGTCCACGAGGCCTAATGAACAGGGAACATGTTGAAAGCCGTATCTTGGTCACTCGAGAAGTGCAGGACGTCCAGCTCTGTCAAGGAACTGGTGAAGCTTGATGAACGGCACAGTGATTTGTGAGATGAAATCCAACCACACGAAAACTCGAGCAGAGAACACAGGCCACAGCTCCGGACCCTTTTACAACTAGACTCACACCAAGGCCAGCATCCAGAACTTAGAGATACAAGGCAGTGGAAGACTCGTGTCCTCGACATTCAAGAACGCTCTGCTATGACTGCCATGACTCCGTCGCATGTCCAAACACTTTTTGAACCAAGACTCTTGATGTCAGCTGGCAAGACTAAACCCCAAGCATGCTCAGCCCCCACAGTACGTGCCAGAAAGCATCATCCTTATGAACATGAGGCAAAGCACCCGCCATCCCAGTACTAATTCTCCTTCGGCCATGTTGAAACTTTCTGAAGTTCGCTGTGAACTTTCCTGAAGCTTCATCAATTCGGAAGATCTTTGGACATAATCTGCCTGCAGACTGGTTTCAGGGCTTCAAACTATGGTCTGTGACTTCGGCCTGGTGGGGCGGGCTAGCGTGGGGGGGTGGTGCAAGGTGGACTTTTCAAGATCGCGAGGTCCGGATGTATTCGCAGACGCTGGGAAAGCCTGACAGGATTGCAAGCCAGCTGCGCCAACTCCACTGGCTGCCCGCCTTAGATCTGCTTCCTAAGAACCTTACGACATGGAAGCCCTTGGTTACGCAACCAAAACCAACCCCGGCGGAAGCACGTCACTGCCTTAGCCATCCTCAACCGGAGCACGCACGGTGCGACTGTTGCATGTGAAACATTCTCGCAGATTAGTGGCACAACACAGAAAGCCTCCGGACAGAGATTTGTTGTGAAGATTCGAGACGCTCCAGCTCCAGCCCTGCATAGCCCTGCAGCAAGACAGGGCTTCGACGAGAAACACTGGAGCAACCTTTCCACAGCTGTTGAGCCACGTAGAACCACTTCTCCGGCTCCATGGGAGGCACGAAGGGAGGGCAGCCCAATCCAGCGCCGGGGTAGTTGCCGGATCCTGAGTGTTGAACATATACGAGTCCATGTGTTTGTATACATTTATCAGATAAATGTATGATAAATTTGTCTATCTGCAAAACTCTCTGTCTGCCTGTCTGTGCTCGTCTGTGTCTGTCGAAGCCTGCGTGTGTGTGAGTGTGTGCCTCCGTTTGTCTCCATCTGTCTGTGCGTTTCTGTGTACGTCTGTCTGTCTGTCTGTCTGTCTGCCTCTGCCTCTGTCTCCGTCTCTGTCTCTGTTCGTCTGTGTCCGTCTGTGGATGTCTGTGTTTGTCTGTCTGTCTATCTGTCTGTCTGTCTGCCGGCCTGCCTGCCTGCCTGCCTCCGTGCCTCTCTCTCTCTGTCTGTCTCTCAATCTCTCTGGCTATCTCCGTGTCGGTCTCTCTGTCTGTCTCTCTGTCTGCCTGAATGCCTGCCTGTCTGTCTGTCCGCCGAGTACGCAAAAAGCATCAGTATCCTCCGCTATGCAACTGTATCATGGCCAGCTAAAGGAAGCCTGATCGCTACACTTTGCACTGCATCCCTGCCCACTCTCTGCCAAAACTACATCTTGCAGTAGTCACGATAGTCATAGAGTGCATGCAAGTCAATCGCGAAAACTCTCACACCCTAACAGTTCCTAACCAACTTCCTTTGAGACGCATTTGGAAACCACTCCGAGTCCATGTGGTTATAACCTCGAACTCGACTCCTATGAGTACGAAGTTGCCTGAGAGGCTCACCGTGCTTGGCATGATGAAGCTACATCCAACACATAGAGGCACGCAGTGTCTGTGTCTTATACCAGCATATCCTGGAAGGCTAGACAAACACGACTTAGCAAGGCTGAGGCCCAAAACTAAAAAACCAAGAAGGTTGAGCCCAAAGGCCGTCTGGCTTGGCCCTGACGGCATGGTATTCCGCCGCACCTCGGGGATACGACTCTTCCAAGAGACTCCAAAATCCCTCTAGCATCCTTATTTTTGATAGGGCTCCTTATCGGTGATCCTTGGTGTGCTGTGTTTACTGAAGTCCTTCATTGCGGAGTTTGCAGATTCTGGGTTCTAAGGCCGTCAGCAGCATCTCAAGCGTGCCCAGTGTGCAAGAGCGGCTCTTCCAGTCCCCACGAAGCACTAACCGCACTAACATGCACTCCATGCTTGAACAAATTCGGTGCCCAACTTGAAGCTGGAAACATTCGGGAGTGTGTCACGACAGTGGGCCAGCATCATTCGGACCAAAGTCCAGGCACTGTGGAGGCCACGGAAGACAAAGAATGGCAGCAGCCTTTCGTGCGGCAAAAGCAGTGGCATTCCTGAGCTCACGGGAAGCCGCACTCGTGAACCTAATGTAGGGGCCTTAATAATTTGGATAAGGTTTTGGGGGCTCTATCCCCAAACCCTATTCTAATTAGTAATGCCTCTATATTATAGACCTTCCAGAAACAACCTACAAAGTCCGGCGGGGCTCAACCCTCCCAACTCAGAACCTTCGACCCCCTTGGCCCGAGCGTACTACTGTAGCCGAAGCCTGTGTCTTTAAGAGAATAGGGTTTGGGGATATTCATAATTATAATAAGGAACCCCTAAAACCCTATTCTAAGTATTAAGGCCCTTACAGACCTTCTGCACTTAGCTCGAAGTCAGGCAAGGGGTGTAGCTGGCTTTTCGACAGCGTTCGGTTTGTCCAGCTTCCACCGTGCTGCAGCTTGCGTCTGTGCTCGCGACACAGCAACTAATGCCAAGAAAATGATCTGCCAAGTCTTCGGCACTTGTTGCATTGCCTGACTGACCATGCTTGCCGACAAAGTGAAAGCTTTTTCGGGCGTCGATTCGAAAATGGGGCCAGACATCAGGCAGCGCAAAAGAGTCTTCAGTTCTGCCGCCTGGTTCTGAGTTGTCCGATTGTATGTCGGTGGCAAAGTCTGGCAAGAATGTACACCGCCTTCAGCTGCACTGTGAAGAAGGTTTCCAGTCTGTGAGCATTGCTACCAGAATCCTTTACGACAACTTTCCTTGAACATCATATTATGGCTTCGAAGATGTACGGAAGCCGGACGAGACGCCCATGGAATAGAGCTCGTAGAAGATAGCGAGTGCCACGTCATAGGGGTATAGCCTGTGCTGCAAGGGAAGCGGGTCACGAATTTGTTGTCAAGGAAACAGTCGAGTTGGAAGTTAGACATGTCATGGTGTATGGGGTTTCGAGTTTCGGCGCTCACACTCAGACACTCCAGGCGAGGCTTGTGGTTCGAGGTCTGCTTGAGTAAAAGCCAAAGCAGAACAACTTCGCTTCGAGAGTACACCCTGCAGAGGGTTCGAACTCTCGCACAATTCGGCGGACCAGGCGACTAATTGGGACTCTTCGGGGATAACGAAATCTGAACCTGCCACACCTGGGTCCAAAAAATCATGAGACCGGGCAACACGCGGCAAGTCGGATCACAGGGTCTCATGCTGATAACAGGAATGATGATAGCTAGAGCAGGCATCAGTTGAAAGTATTGCTAGCTTAACTAGAGCACAAACACATACGTTCGACTTTTGAGCACGAATGACTGCTTTCAACGGCCTTCATGTTCGACCTAGGACGATCGCGGCTTTCCATTTGGCATCCAGTGCTGCCGGTGGCGAGACGGACGCTTGATCAGATGCCATGTAATACAAAGGAAGGGAATGAAACTAAGAATAACTGAGACAGTACACAGTGAACTTCACAGATGCTATGAACGGCAGACGATCAAGTGAAACAATTAACACAAATTGCACCAGCAGCAGCAAAAGCAACAGCAACAGCAGCAGGAGCAGGAGCAGGAGCAGCGGCTGCAGCAACAACAACAAGAACAGCAAGAAGGCTCAACCTCGGAATCACCGAGTCCCCGTGGACTACTTGGTTGCAGCGGGGTCCCGGCTGCAACCTGTGCAATGTCGTCCCTACTGTATTGTCGTAAGCACAAGCCGGCTGCGATGGCTGCACATGTGAGTTCTCGTGCACCCCTGTGTGCAGCAACGGCGACAGCAACAGCAGCAGCAGCGGCAGCACCAACAACACCAACACCAATACCGACACCGACACCACCACCACCACCGCCACCACCGTCGCCACCAGCAGCAGCAGCAGCAGCAGCAGCAGCAGCAGCAGCAGCAACAGCAACCACAACAACAACCTCATCAACAACGACAGCAGCAGCAGCTGCAGCAGCAGCAGCAGCAGCAGCAACAGCCACAGCCACAGCCGCAGCAACTCAACAGCAACAGCAACAACGCAAGCAACAACACCACACAACCACCATGAAACCCACAACAGCAACCACCACGACGACGACTACTACTCCTGCTCCTACTCCTGCTGTTCATACTGCTGCTTACTACTACTACTACTACTACTACTACTACTACTACTCCTACTCCTACTCCTACTCCTACTCCTACTCCTACTCCTACTCCTACTCCTACTCCTCTACTCCTACTCCTACTCCTACTCCTACTCCTACTCCTACTCCTACTCCTACTCCTACTCTTGCTGCTGCTGCTGCTGCTGCTGGTGCTGGTGCTACTACTACAACAACAACAACAACAACAACTACTACTACTACTACTACTACTAGTAGTAGAGTACTCCTACCACTACTACTACCACAACAGCAACAGCTACTACAGTTATAAGAAGAAGAACAACAACTACTACTAGTACTACTAATACGATTACCACTACTACGACGACGACGACTACTACTACCACTACTACTAGTACTACTATGCGGACGACGACTACGACTGCGACGACTGCGACGACTGCGACGGCGACAGCCGCGACGACGATGACGACGACCATGGCTGCTCTGTCATTGCGAAATTTGATGCCCTCCACTACACAGGCACTGAGCCCTAGTCCTTCTCCTGTTGTCTTGGCAGGCTTTCGAGCTGCTCGGCGGGGACCGGTCGGCCGCCCAATCTGTCTGTTTGAGACTGGTTTAGGGACCGCATGGGTTGAATCCTAGATGTTATTGCATTCGTGGTCAGCGGACCGCGCATTGAGGTATATCTTTTTCTTCCAAGACGGCCATGGAGGTGCATAGCCCGATCTTGTGTAGTGCCAGGGCTGGGCAACTAGAATCATATCTAGGGCTAGTGTAGTTTGGTCTCTTCATTCAAACTCCTCATTGCGCCGGGGCGGACGACGTTAAAGGCATCAGCGGATGCAGTGAAACATTTAGTAGAACTATTCCCTTATAGCCTGGCGGTTACAGCATAATGGGCCCAAGCCCCAAGACCAGATACCTTGGTTTCTCATCTCGCCTCAATTCTACCTGAGAAAGCCAGACTTTAGGATATTATGCTGTTCCCACTGTTTTATCTGGTCAAGGGTATATACTATGGTTCTCTCACTTTCGTAGCATTGCTTGTAGCTTTGTCGCCAAGGGTCCTCTGCAGATTCTTGTTTGGGTAATCTCGATCTAAGGTTTTGTTGTGCGTTGTTGTCGCTGTAGCATCTTGTACTGGAGCACGCGGGCCGCTCGTGTTGCTGCGTCATGCTGCGGACCTGAGCCACCCAAGGAGCTATGTAAGCGTACCGACTGTGCAGCATGTCAGGTATCTGCGCTGGACCAGACACGGTTCTGATGTTCGACCTTCAAAGGAACAAGGTCCAACGTTTTGCACAGCCTCTCGAGCAAGCCGTTCAAGCGTTTGAGCCTGGTGCAACACATTGCTTGCTGCAACTTGCCGACGCATTTGACTCGCCAGTGGAGCCCACCAACATCTGCTCGAGCTACCAGGGGCGGACACCAAGAGGAGGCCGTCAGTGTTGTGTTCTGCAGCAGTGAATGTTAGGCCTGTCGTTGCCTCATGTTATGCTTTATTCTACTACATCGTACCACGCTAGACTACATTCAACTTTGTTGACTCTGCTGCTTTTGGAAGGTTCACTGGCAACCGCTCTGTGCGGCACAGTCCGGGGAGCCTCTCAAGGCGGTTGTTGACGTGCGAGTGGAGAAGCTTGTGCATCTGTCGTGGAGGGGCAGAGGGGCCGTATAAATTTTCCACAGGGTCTTGTGACGCATATTATGGTCCCATTATGTCGTTACAAAAACGCAATGAAAGTCAGTCTTTGCAACCTCTCTACATCATCCCTGTAGGCAGGAGGCCAGCTCCTCGTGCAAACTCTCACCACGTGGTATTGCTTGCTGCTGCATGGCCGTACCTGTTGTCCTACAGCGAGATATTATGACATATGCATGTAAAGCCTCATGTGCTTGGTATGGTTTGTGATATGCAGCGGCATGAAAGTACTTGGAGGATCATGGGACTTAGTAACTAGGGTTATAAATAAGGTAACTATAAATCATAACCCCAATTAGGGTACTTATAACCTTACTTACTCAACCCTAAACCCTAAACCCTAAACCCTAAACCCTTACTTACTAAGTCCCATGATCCTCCAAGTATGTGGGGAGGCATGGATCCTTGAAGCGAGCATGGACTATGTGGCGCGGTCCTCGACATCAGGCTGATAGGTCTCCTACTTGGAGGATCATGGGACTTAGTAAGTAAGGGTTTAGGGTTTAGGGTTTAGGGTTTAGGGACTTAGTAAGTAAGGTTCAAGTACCCTAATTGGGGTTATAACTATAGTTACCTTATTTATAACCCTAGTTACTAAGTCCCATGATCCTCCAAGTAGGTCTCCTGTCCGGCTCCCAGCATTGCGGCTCAAGAAGTCCCCAAAGATCAGAGCCCGCAACGTAAAGTTAGAACGTAAAGCCTGGCCCTAGTTCCAGTTTAGGGTTTAGGGTTTAGGGTTTAGGTTTAGGGTTTAGGGTTACACATGCAAGCAATACTGTATGCTTTTGGACAAAGCGAAGTCTTTGTTCTTAATCGGCAGGAAACCCTAGACCCCACACACCTAAGCCGCTAAACCCTGAAGCCAATCTCCCAAGCCCTGAGCCCTGAACCCGCAAACCTAAACCTGTAAATCGTAAGTCGCAAGGTTCCTAAAACACTAAACCCCTAAACCGCTAAACCCTGAACCTCTAAACCCCTAAACCCCCAAACCCTGAACCCCTGAACCCTAATGCTTGCTGAGGTGCTGCTGGCCCCGGTCTGGACCTCGTTTTTGCATGGAGGGGAATAAGGGCCTTCGATCGATTTCTGGGACAGCTCCTTAGACGTACTGCAACTATTGCCTATCACGTGTATGGGTGAGGGGTAATAACCGGTAACCGTGAAGAGGGATAGAACAGCAGGAGTCGCAATCTGCGAAGAATGATTGTCATGATGTACGATTGCCGCCCTCCTGGCCATGATTCCTGAGGTGGCAAGAGACGGATTACAGCGCGGATGTCACCAGGAGACGGCAGAGCCACAAGAGGATTTGGGTGCTGGGGTTTCTGCAGATTCAATTTGGGGCTTTAGGGCTTTTGGGGTTCGGGGTTCAGGATTTAGGGTTTAGCGTTTCCTCTGGCTAATCGGGGTTTAATTAAGGGGTTTCGCACTTAATGAATGCAAATCCCATGTGATACTTGTTACATATGCCCCACATGATGCGCATACGATCGTTGGTCAAGGCCGTGCCTTTACGTTAACAGTTGCAAGAGCTAAAATTACTGCCTGGCGGTATGCATGCTGGAAGGCATAGTACCGGTAGTAAGAACAAATTGCGGCAGGAGGGCCACACGGCGCTGTACTTCATCTCGCATACGGGTCAGGCACCTCGGTATGCCGCATGAGGGCTTTCGGGTTCGTGGTCTTCGTCGGCTTTGGTTAAAGGACAATGCGGGAGCATAGTGCCGGAGGGACGAAGAACCACAGTAGAGATAGCAAAGTCAGATACACGAATGATACGTGGAACAACAGCACGTGAAATAACGATAGCCATACTACCAACGATAGTATGTATAATCAGGAGCAATGTGCTGGTAGGCAATGACATTGGGCACAGGAACTGGTGCATCACCTTCCCTGCGACCTCTGGAGGATGACGGTGCAGAGGTGTGCCCGCTATGCTTCAAAGGTAGCTGCAACCTGCTGAACAAAAGAAAACCCTACTTGCATTGCTTGAAACCCTGCTTACTTCGTGAAGCATCCAGTGGAGCCCTGATCTGCTGCTCAGCTTCGGAAACG